GAAGAGGTTCTTAGTAACTTGAACAACTCAGAATCAAGACCCTCCAACTCTTTGTTCCAAATAGCAAGAGGCTCGGGGGCTACACTTAGTGAGTGCACTTTTTCTTCAAAAAAACGCACATCACTCAGAAGACTTCCTCAAGACAGCAGTTTTCAAACAACATAAGATTCAAGACTCTCCAACTTTTTGTTCTAAAAAGAATAGCAAGAGGCTCGGGGGCTATACTCAGTGAGTGCACTTTTTTCTCTAAAAAAGCGCACATCACCAAAAAGACTTCTTCAAGACAGATCACTTCAAGACCTCACGACAAAAAGAACCCGAGTATATGCTCAGGAACCCTTCAACAAAGAATCAGAGTGAATTCAAAAGAAGACCCTCCAGCTCATTGTGCCAAAAAGCAAGAGGCTTGGGGCTACACCCAAATGGGAGTACTTTTTTCTTCAAAAAGGTACACATCACGCGAAGATCTCACGAAGCGCTACATGGTTTCGCTCAAGAAAGCACCCGGACGATGCTTGTTTCTGCTCGGCAAGACCTGAAGGAACAAGACAAGGCTTTCAGAGCTCAACCATGAAGTGCTCGGGGGCTTGTCGGTGCGGGACCCACAGGATACCCCGCAAGGAAGGGAGAAGATCTAGTTTAACTAGGATTCTTCCCATGCAATCTTAGTAGTAGTATTATTCTATAATCCTACTAGGAACTCTCATTGTAAACCGACTAGGATTCTGACCTCCTGACTATATAAAGGAGGGCAGGGTTCCTAGAGAGCAGAAGGGATTTTACGACACAACACAACACAACACAATCAATCCAACGCAAGGGCTAACGCCGACTGGACGTAGGGCTATTACTCGATCAGCGATCGAGGGTCCGAACCAGGATAAATCGACTGTCTCTTGCGTTCACCATCGAGTTCTGCATACGCCGAAGCCCGAACATACTGCCCCGGGTACCCCCGTGACAGGCTATCGGTGGTAAAACATCGACAATGTCCCTACGTCCAGTTCTTGACTGCTGCTTGTATTACTTAGCACTGAAAATTCATAGTAGGGGGTTACAAACTGGCGAGAGAGGGACTGGTCCCAAGTCTCTGGTGGTGTGTAGTTTGTGATGAGGTGCGGTGAACCGATGCTGTGAGATGCACTTGTTCGATGTCTCTGCCCCCCTCCCTTTAGTGGGACACCCTGCTTTCCCTTTTATAACCCAAGGGAAAGCAGGGGTTACAGCCAAAGGGAAGAGGGAAAAAGAAAAAGAAATAAGGCTCCCGGAGGTGTGCCGTCCTCCTCTTTGCGTCGGTCCCGCTGACCCTGTAGATCGTGGTGGCAGCGGCTTCGCACCGGGGTCCTGTTGGCTGATGCTGCATACGTGCGGGTGTCGTGCATCATTCTTGTCTTTCATCCCATCCGAGCGGACGGTAATGGTCAAAGGGTCCCCTGACGGAGGCCATACGGGGGGCTGGTGGTATAGTGCCAGTCAACTAACGCCGGTTGACTGACGTTGGACGGTGGTCAGGCAGAGAGTTGGCAGCATAGTGCTGGCCTGTTGACGCGATGGGCGACGTGAGTCTCCCAGCATGGCCTGATGCAACTGCCAGTCACATCAGAACACGCCCGAGACATCCTCCCGGGCGTGCGCCTCCACGCCATAGTGGTTGAAGCAGTTCGGGTCCTACCCTGGGGCCACTGCTTTTGTTCGGTAGTAAATTCGACCCCCGGGAAACGGTCGAGGCGGAAATCTCGTCCAGGGGACCGGGCGAGACGGAATCCGACCCTTGGGGATCGGACGAGGCGGAGCCCTCCCCGTGGGAATGGACGAGTCGGAGTCCACGCCTTGGGGTCGACGAGGCGGAAACCTTGTCCTTAGAGTTGGAGCCCACGCCTTGGGGTCGGACGAGACGAAACCTTGTCCTTGAAGTTGGAGCCCACGCCTTGGGGTCGGACGAGGTGGAAACCTCGTCCTCGGAGTCGGACGAGGCATGGCCCGGCCCCTAGGGGTCGGTCGAGGCGGAAACCTCGTCCTCGGAGTTGGATGAGGCATGGCCCGGACCCTGTGGGTCGGACGAGGCCGTAGTTCCATCCTTAACCATTGGATGAGGCGACGTGACGCTCATTAATGCCTTGGCTCGGATACCTGGATATAGATATCCGACAACCCCTTTATTTAAGGGAAATGTAGTGTTTTTTTGCCCCCCAAAAAAAAGAAACGTTATTGGGGAGCTGCTAGAGCAATGAAACTACACTATCTCTCCCAATATGACAGGCTTACATGGATGAAGAGAATTATTAGAAAACTTTTGGAGATGCTAAAAACTTGGACAAGCTTCGATTCCACGGTGCCCTCTTTCTTTGGCGGTTATGTATGACAGCTCGGTGACCTATCATCGTCGGCAGGCCGGTGAGGGCTCGACGCCGCAGCCCGTAGCTACTGTTGAGCCACCAGATTTCTGAACCTAGCTGAGCAGACAAAACCTACCTATCCAATTTCGTCCTTCATTTATTATAGAAGAAGAGTAAAAAATATGTTTTGCTTTACCCCACTTATGGATGAAAACGGTACGGATATTTATTCGATCGTCCGTTCGACCGAACAAATATGAACACTTATCTGGATAGTTACTTGGATATCCGTAATTTTTTCGGATACGGATAATAAAACGGATATCTTAGGCGGATATCAAATACGACTGTAATATCATCGATATCCGGCGAATATCGGATAATCCGGTTAAGTATCGGATATATCCGGATATTATTCAAACGGATATTATACGGATATTATTCAAACGACCTTGGATGGAGAAATGATCAAAATAAAAATTGTAGATCTCAAAAAGTTATGAAACTTTATTGTTTACAACTTTTTCATTTGAAATCATTTAGTGCTTCAAAATGCTATTTGAATTTCAATTTCGAAATGGTTAAAGAACGCCTATTTCTCTTTTTAATCTTTGACTAAAACTTGTAACTAGTTTTTCTTTCTCGTACTAACTTCAAATTTGATAATTTTTTTTCTAAAATTTTCTAAAATCATGTTCTATCAATTTATTATGTTCTTATAACTATTATTGTGTTCATCTTTTCATGTGACTGTATTCTATCTATTTGAATTTTGAATTTCAAAAAATAGCAACTTCAAACGTCATTTTCAAACAATAAATGACTTTAGCTGAAAAAGTCATGAATATAAAAGTTGTAAAACTTATCAAGATCTATAACTTTTATTTTGGTCATTTGTTCATCCGAGATTGTGGTATTAACATTATTCACAAAATTTACATCTCTCTCCGGTAGTTTCATAAACTATAAGAGAGATGTGTGAGATTCGTGAATAATGTTATTACCACTATGTCGGATGAACAAATGACTAAAATAAAAGTTGTAGATCTCAGAAATTTATGAAACTTTATAGTTGAAAACGTTTTTATTTGAAATCATCTTGTCAAGGAAAACTACGTTTGAATTTATCAAATTTAAAATTTAGATTTTTCAAAAGACCTCGGAATCTCAGATGGAGAAACAACCAAAATGAAAGTTTTAGATCCCAAAAAGTTATGAAACTTTGTTAATTACAATATTTTCATTTGAATTTGTTTAGGGCCTCAAACAATAATTTTTTGCTTTTTTGTTTTTTTTGTCTCGAATTGTGATTTTTGGAATTGGGCCAAAATATTACTTCTTGCCCAAACGGCCCAATCCTCTATAACCCTAGCTAAGCTAGCTGGCCCATATATAAGTTCCCACTTGTGTGTGTGTGTATATATATATATATATATATATATATATATATATATATATATATATATATATATATATGCTTTTTTTCAATATCCGAATAGATATTTGTATGCGACCTTCTCCGAATCCAATTCATACCATATACGTATATGTACCAAACGCTATCCGTGTCCGAATCTGAATCAAACAGAAATATAAAAACAAATATAACACGAGTGATATCCATTCGTATTCGATCCGTTTTCATCTGTACCCCCGCTTGACACGCCTGCTGTTAGCCACAGCCTCACAAGAAGCAGTCACAAGACATCATCGCATCGCACTCGCACCTCGAGCGAGCGAGCGACCGAGAGCTGTGGCTTCGTCTGACCGGGAGGCCGCGGCGATGGAGCAGAGCGTCGCGAAGCCCATCAGATGCAGAGGTACGTGTGCACCTGCCTTCCCGCGCTTCCGTCTCTCCTGCTTCCTTGCTTGTAGTTGTATGGACAGCGCCCTTTGAACTGTGATCGTTGCGTAGCGGCGGTGAGCAAGGCGCCGGGGCAGCCTCTGGAGATGGAGGAGGTGGAGGTGGCGCCGCCGCGGGCACATGAGGTCCGCGTGAGGATCATCTGCACCTCCCTCTGCCACACGGACGTCACCTTCTGGCGCATGAAGGTACGGATGCCGGGCCGACCATAGGCTGATTCTGAATTCTGTTTCCCTCCTCTCTTGGACTTCGTCGCATTCGCGTATGTTGATCTTGCGCTAGCTAGGAGCCGAGTAGTAGTAGCTCTGTGCTTCGCTCGGCTCTTTGGAGGGGGGGGATAAAAGAAAATCAACTTTTAAGGTCGTAAACGATCGTAAATTTTCAGCCGGGAACAGTGTTTTTCTTTCACACCAAACCATCCGAGCAGTAAATAATCCACGATACGATACGGCCTCCCGAACAGGCTGTATGTCAATGTCGAATGATCTGAACCTTGAAGTATTAAACTTTGTCATGTTTGAGTAATTAAGAAGCATCAGATTCTGTCCTGGACTTCCATATGTGCACAATTGTACTGAAATCAACCTGTAGGGTTGGATCGAGATCCAGGGACAATTTTTTGCAGTTTTGTATGTCACGCACACTGTTTTTGTTCCTTTTTGCAGGATTTCCCGGCCATGTATCCATCCATCCTGGGGCACGAAGCAGTAGGGTAGGCTTTACATTCAGACAGCCACAATTCGATTGTCATGGCATTTGCGGTGTGTTGATTCATGATTCGTGTCCACTGTCGTGTCCAGAGTGGTGGAGAGCGTGGGGGAGCATGTGCAGGAGGTGGCCGTGGGGGACACGGTGGTGCCGGTGTTCCTGCCGCAGTGCGGCGAGTGCGACGACTGCCGGTCCGCCCGCAGCAACATCTGCTCCGTGCTGACGTACCGCCCGGGCCTCATGCCGCGGGACGGCACCACGCGCTTCTCTTTCGCCGACACGGGCGAGCCCGTCCACACCTTCCTGTGCGTCTCCAGCTTCGCCGAGTACACGGTGGTGGACGTCGGGCACGTCGTAAAGCTTGCCGTCGGTTCCGCCCCCGCGCTGGCGCCGGAGAAGGCGTGCCTGCTCAGCTGCGGCGTCGCCACGGGTACGGTGCTACTAGCTCGCGACAGCATTGGACACTGGACATCGGAGTTGGAGTAGATCCACCACGCTGACGCTGACGCTGATGCCGCGTGCAGGTGTTGGTGCAGCTTGGAAGGTTGCGGCAGTGGAGGCCGGTTCAACTGTTGCTGTCTTCGGACTCGGCACCGTCGGCTTAGCAGTAATGACACCAAACCCTGATGCTACGACGATATCACTACCTTTTCTTGCTGATCATTATTGAATTGCAAAGACTACACACGCCAATGCTCCTCTTATGTCTTATCACACATAAAGCCTACCTGTTCTTGATAGTAACAGGACATCGTGACGGCGACTCCTGAACTGAATCACTGAATGCAGGTAGCGCAAGGGGCCAAGATGCGTGGTGCCAAGAGAATCATTGGGGTGGATCTGAATCCTGACAAACTGGATATCGGTACTTCACTTTAACAACGACTCTTGCATCTCCAGATCTTCCGAGAACCAACGTGATTTTGTTGCATCGAACTGCTGTTTGTTTTGTCGATTCCTTTAATTGCAGCAAAGAGGCTGGGGATCACCGACTTCGTGAATCCAAATGAGACCGGGGGGAAGAAGACTGTCAGCGAGGTCTGTATCTGTAGTTCTGTACCAACGAAACTATCTTAGCGACGGACAATCATGTCAGTCATTTTCCGCCCATTCGTTGAGGTCGTACTCCTAGGTTTGGTTGCCTCGTCGTGCCTTACCGAGCCATCTGACGATCTCCAACCCAGGTGATCACGGAGATGACCGGCGGCGGCGCCGATTACTGCTTCGAGTGCGTCGGCTCCACTTCACTCATGGCGGAAGCCTTCAAAAGCTCTCGGAAGGTACGGTACCCGTAAGTCGTCTGGCAGGTGGCCGCGGGATCTGTTGCGATTGCGATACGATGCCGAGTACTGACTAGTGACCAGCTAACCCCAGTGACGGTACCGTGCAGGGCTGGGGGAAGACGGTCATCCTGGGCACCGACGCCGGCGCGGCGCCCGTCAGCATATCGTCGTCGGACATCAAGCGGGGGCGGTCCGTCACCGGCGCGCTCCTCGGCGGGATCAAGCCCAAGGACGACATCCCCGTGCTGGCGCACAAGTACCTGGACAAGGTGATCATATCGACCACCTGCACGGCTGCACCGTGCCTGATTCCTGAATCCTGAGACTCCTCTCGAGTCCTCGTGCGCTTCCCGACCGAGTAACTGATTCGATCATTCTGTCCTGTTTTTTCCTCTGCGTCAGGAGCTGGAGCTGGACGAGTTCATCACCCACCAGGTGGGCTTCCACGACATAAACCGCGCCTTCGACCTGCTCCAGCAGGGGAGGTGCCTTCGCTGCATCATCTGGATGGACAACAACGGCGGCGCCAAGGACACCGTCGCGCGCGCATGACAGACTTGACAGTGCCCTGTTGGTTCGTCACCGTCGTCGTCATAGGTTTTCAGAGGGGGTCATGTCTTCGCGCTAGCTGTTCTCGTTCACCATCATGTATTCGATCGTGTTGCGCTGGACTTGAGGTGCTCCTCCGTCATTCCTTGCAATGCATCAAGGATGCATGCATCGCTACTCTGATGCGTGCTAATACTTCGCGCGGTCACTTGTATTTTGTAACAGGAAATAAACCCGCGTAGCCACTCGCGGCGGTGACGTGTTAACATTGTTTCTAATAAGTCTGTCTTGGACTCTTGGTAGCCAAACTTTAAATAAACCCAAATCGTTAGCCAGACTTTTCCGAGTAATCCTACGACTTTGAAACGGAGTACCAAATTAATTATGGTAATGCTCTATACCGAACGTTCGTTCCTTAGCCAGACTTTTTTAAGTTTGATGAATCCAAATTCTAATATTGTACGACTTTGAAATGGAGGGAGTACCAAATTAATTACGATAATGCTTTCTATCGAACGTACGGGACGGACCCGCCTACCCCCCCCACCTCAATGGCTCATGCGCCCTATGCCTCGTGCCTCGTGCCCCCCTCCCTCACGTCTCGTGCCTCGCGTCGCGCGCCGTGCATCGACCTCTGCTTGCAACTCACGCTGCACCCAGCCGAGGTTCGACGTCCGTGCCGTGCATCGAGCTCCGTGCCGGCATCAAGCTCTGCGTCAACGAGCGTCCATTGGGGGCAGCAAGTAGATGACCACATGTTGCAACCGTATGTTTCATCTAGCTGTTGCAAAAGTAGATTTGATGTTGCATATGTTGCAATGACTATACACGTATGTTGCAAGTGTATGTTTCAAATGTTTCAACCGTTGCACTCGCTATATATGTATGTTGCCGGTGTATGTTCCAAATGTTTCAGTTGTTTTCAAACGTACGTTGCAAGTATTTTTATCTTGATGTTGCATATGTTGCAGTACCCATACACATATGTTGCAAACATATGTTGTCCATGTTTCATCTATTTTGGACGTATTTATACATCAAATGCTTTATGTTGCAAGTTTTTTATGAGCAGGCGCGGCAAGGGGCGCAGGCGAAGGTGGTGCCCTCGGGCGTAGCGGTTCCCGCGTGTGCGCGGGAAGTGAAGCGAAGCGGCAGCAGGTGTGAAGCACAAAGTTATATACTTATATCCATAGGCGTGGCAACAAACACGGAGCACGAAGTTGCATCCACAAACGGACAGTAGGCGCGAAGCGAGGCGAAGCGAAGCACGAAGCTGCATCATAGGCAGACATCAAGCGCGGAGCACAAAGGTGCATCCATAAGTGTCTTGGAGGTATTATTATTGAAAACGGACGGACATTAGACATAGACATCCATATAGACACCACGTCTAGACGTCCGGACGCTAGTCTCTTCGCATTAATTAAGTAAAAAATGACTCAAACAGAAGTACTCCTCCGTTCAAAAAAGAATACAACCACGAGTTAGTTGTCAATAAAAATAGTTCATGTTTAACTAAATTTTTAATAAATATTATTTATATTTATAATTTTAAAATAATTTACTAAACTACGACGCTGTGGTAGAATTGCAGCGAGGGAGTACAGAACACTCGACCCCGATGGCCACTGGAGTGTATTGGTCCATTTTTTAAGCCCAGCCGAAATTACCGTGTCGCGCACCATGTATCCTCTTCTAGACTTTGCTCCGAAAAAAAAAGTACAGTATCCTCTTCTAGACTTCAGGTAGCACGTGTCCTCTCTACACATTCTCGAGGACGCCCACCCAACACTCGCGTCGTTTCTTCTTCCCACCATCCCACCGGCTCCCCTCCCACCAGCCGCCGGGCTTCCAGAAGCTTTCACAGGGCGCCGCCATGGCTGCGGAAGGCAATGCTCCGTCGCTCGCCGAGGTAGGGAAGCCGTATCCTCTTATCTGTGCCTGTTTATTTTCTAAAATTTTGCAAAATTTTTCAAGATTTCTCGTCACATCGAATTTTTGAACACATGCAAGAAGCATTAAATATAAATAAAAAATAAAACTAATTATACAGTTTAAACAAAATTCACAAGACAAATCTTTTAAGCCTAATTAGACTATGATTAAATACTAATTATCAAATAACAACGAAAATATTACAGTACCATTTTCTAAAAATTTCGCCGCCTCGTTCTCCAACTTGCACTCTCGTCTCGTGTGATATGTCCTGTCGCTCCCGTAGCTACGAGCTGCTCGTGAACCTATGTGTAGTAGGATGAGTTCGAGTTAGGTTTTCTGCTGGGATTCATGTATAATTTGGGTGGTAGCCCTTTTTTCCTCCGGAAATTTTGGTGGAATAGTTGGTGGGTACTTCATTCTTGATACGAAAGGATCCACAGTCAAGGACGGATCCAGCAGTGGGGCGGAGGGGCTCAAGCCCCCCTACCCATACCGAATCAGTGCAAATTATTGTAGAGCCCATATAAATTTTTAGGTAAAGTTCTATAGTGTAGGGGGGCTGAGACTTAAGATCGAGCAGCAGTGTTGTTCAGCCCCTAAAAATATTTCCTGGATCCGCCGCTGTCCACAGTTGCTGTCCATTGGAGTTTCAAAGTCGAGATGTTGATTTTGTAGTTAGCTGATTAGGATTCGAGTTGTCGTGGGTAAGTTTTTATTTGAAACTAAAATGTTGTAAGTTGAACAGTGCGTCATTTATGGCGTACTGGCTCTACAGCTCCCATGGCATAATTTCTCTGATCATAGCTCCATGGTAAGCATATGTTGTGAATCCGTGACTAGTGGTATGATTCTGTCAGGAGCATTCACCTAAAGCTGTTACTCTTAATTATGTACCACTTGCACGCGAAACTGAACCTCTGATTGAATTTCAAGCCGGAGAGCATTGTGCGGTCTGAGATTGTCGAACTGTAATTCCTAGTATCGTTTTAGCTGTGTCTTGGAAGCTGGAGTCCCCAGCATTGTGTCAAATATTTGCTTTGTTAAAAGCAGAGAGTATTCTCCTTTCAAAAAGAGTCTATCTACCCAACAATAATGTGTTTCAGCAAAAGATAGCATATGGTTGTTTGCTAGGTGCAAAACACACGATTTGTAACGGAGGAAAAACCAAATGTTTCAGCTAAAGCTAGCACATAGTTGTTGGCTGCATAAAAACACACGAATTCCAACAGACAAAAAAACATGTGTTTTAGGAGAAGATAGCACATGATTGTAGTCTAAAGGCTATAAACAAGCATATTTCAGATCATGCTAATTTCCTGCATTGCATGACACAACAGATAGCAGCAATCCAACTATTTTAGATGCTGCTAGCTTTTGCAATTAGAGCACCCAACTATTTCAGATCCTGTTAGATTTTGCAGGATCTTAGATGCAAATTAAGTGTAATGCATTATATTGATGAAATTACAAAACACAAATATGAAAATTGCACATTTCAAATAGTGCAAATAGTATGTGTTCTTAATGTAATTAAACTGTAAATGTATATCAATACATATACAATATGGTGGAGCTCATGAATGTGTAAATAGAGAGAATGACAAACTGCTCAACAGCAACACAAGCAATCTTTCCTCCTTGTTGAACAGCACAAACTAAAGCGGCATTCCCATATTCTCATTTAGGATCAGATCGATTAAAAGGAAACAACATGGATAAATTATAACGAATCAAAGCTTGATTCACAAAATAATACGAGCAGAATTCAATCAACCCATAGACCAAACTGTTTTACTGAACAACTGCCAAAACAGAAGAAGAGAAGAAGAACGGTATTGATCAGACAAGAAAATGAGGGACAAAAGACAGTTTACTAAACCTGCAGCTTACTAAATTACAGAAAGGTAGCAGTGACAGCACAGAAGACAGATGTGTGTTCACAAAAATCACAATAATATATGGTTTGTGCTAGTACAAATCACAAGTGACAAATATATGGTGTGTGCTAGCACAAATCACAAGAAAGTAAAGGACCAACACTTGCTATTTACATTATAGAAGACAATATATCAGCTAGCAGAAAAAACAAAAAAACGAGGAAAACGGTTCAACAACAGCATATTGCATATTCTCAGAACTACAATTGCAGTGCTAGACACTTACAATTTACATTATAACAGACTGCAATTATGTAACTGAATCTTTAAGTTGTTTGGTTTATATATGCTCAGAAATAGTTCTTTAGTACCATTAAAGTGCCATGGAAAAGAACAAAAAATAGATGGAATGAATGCGATATTCAAAAGTCATACCTCATTTATCAAAAAATAAGTGGGCACTAACAAAAGAGGCAAGGCCAACACAAGCTTATAGCTCTTAAAGAATACACGAAAGTGGATAAAACACTACCAAATTTGAATCTACCAAAATTACAAGGTATCAGTAGAATCCACGCAGCTCAATTTTGCACCATATTAACATATTCACAAATCACAATTTTGTAAAATTCATAATATGTCATCAAGCAGGTCCTAGCAATTAACTCTTCCCAAGTTCTAGAATAGACATCAATTTGGAGTTCTGGCAAACTCTTTCAGCTTACAAGAGTTAAGCATATTTAGTGTGGCTTGTGAACTGTTCACAGAGACAACTATAAATTAACATTTAAAAAAATACATTACCAGGTAAAATTTAGTGTCTACCTGAAATATAGTGTAAAAACATCATACTCTGATAAAGACTAAATCCAAGTGTTTCATCCCCTTTGACAACTAAATCTGATAAACCATGAGATTCAAAAAATCAATAGCACACAAAAAATCATGCCGCAAAACACAACATATAATTGTGGTGTGTTCTAGCACAAATCACAATTAACAAAATACATTTTTTTTCTATAGGAGGACAAAGACAAATATCTGAGATGTGTTGTCATAAATCACTAAAAACAATTTTTTTCTATGAAAGGACAAGGACAAAAAGTGGTGTGTGCCGGAACAAATCACAATTAACAGAATTATAATATGGAAGCAATATGATATTATAGAAAATATCATAGGCACAAA